AAAAAATATATATATATATATTTTTTTTTTTCCAGTACCAGGAATTGAACTCAGGACTTTGAGCTTACCAGGCAGGCATGGCCACCACTGAACTACATCCCCAGCCCAGCCATCTAAACAATATAAAGCCTTTTGATTCATGAACACAGGATGTCTTTCTTTTATTTAGGTCTTCTATAATTTGTTTCAACAACCTTTTATAGTTTTCAGTTTCTTGTACTTTGTTGCAGTTTCCTTTATTTTGCTTTTAATTTATTCTAAAGCATTTTTATTCCTTTGATGTTATTATAAACTATTTTCTTAATTTCACATTCACATGTTCATCATTAAGTATATAGAAATATATTTTGGGGTATTGGTCTTATGTTCTGCAACTTTGTCACATTTGTAGTCTAATGATTTTTATTGTTATTTTGTGGTGCTGGCATTAAACCCATGGCTTTACACATGCTAGATAAGCACTTAGACCACTGAGTTACATTTCTAGCTCTAAAAAGGTTTTATTTGTGGTGTGTGTGTATTCCAAGCGTTTTCTATATACAAGATCACATTATTTATAATAGAGATTGTTTTACTTTTTAATTCCAGATTATTTCTAGATGCCTTTTATTTTACTTTTTCTCCTAATTATCTTGGCTAGCACTTTCTGTAGTGTTGAATATAAGTGAGCCAGGTGTGGTGGTACATGCCTGTAATTCCAGCACTCAGGGAGGCTGAGGCAGGATGATCATGCGTTCAAGCCCAGTGTAGGCAACTTGGTGACAGTGCAACCCTGTCTCAAAAAATAAAAAAAAGAGCTGGAGATGTAGTTCAGTGCTACAGTACTGCCCAGTACAATCCCCAGTACTGCCTCACCCAAAAAGTGACAGAAATGGATAGCCATGTCTTTTAAAGCATAAGGATTTTTATTCTCATTTCTTATGAGTTTCAGACTTTGGTGAAATTCCAAATTTGTTCACCTTCTATATTGATCTTATTTGGACCTCTATAATATAGAAAGTAAACTATTATTTTTGTTTTGAGGTACTGGGGAATGAACCAAGGCCTTTGCACTGAGCTACACCTCCAACCATTTTTAAATGAGACAGCTTCTCACTAAGGTGGCCAAGTTGAGCTTCAAATTTTGATCCTTCTTTCTCTGTCTCCCAGAGTGCTGGAATTACAGACCACACGTGGCTAGAAACTGAACTTTTTGAGGACATTTTCTGTTGCTAATTTTTGTATATGGCTATGAAATGAATGTCTTAGCTCCAAAATAAGCGCTTATCAGTTAACTTATTAATACATAAATCTGAAATTGTATTGCTTACTACCTACTGAGGTCTTAATTTATAAATCCCAACAAACCATAAAAATAATATAAAACATGTTTCTAATCTTGCAGAGTGTATTTTGAGGTAACTCGGAATAAAAAGCAAACTATAGTTCTAATACATTGATAGAAATGAAAGAAACAATACAGGATAAGCTTCATGTTCCAAAATTGTCAAGGGGCATTTTTATGAGAGAGCAAAGATTAGTTCTCCCTTGTTATATTTGCTTTTCTTCCCTTTTTCTCTTTTTTTAAAATTTTTTGGTCCTGAGGACCTAACCCAGAGCCCCTAGCTTGCTAGGTGAGCACTCTATCACTCTGTAAATCCCAACCCCTATTCTCCCTGACTATAAACATAACCTCAAAACATCCTAATTTATCTTAATTGGTTATGGATATTTTATGAATGTCTTTTAAAATGTAATTATTTTTAGCTATGCTTTGTGATGTATTCCAGAATAACAGATGATTATAACCTTCAAATTTGGCATTTCAATTTCAAAGAATTACCCCTGGTTTTATTATTTCAGAATTTCATTTAAGTTCAGATCAGCAAACATACATTAACTGTCTGTAATGGGCAATCAGGTTCTAAGATGAAAAGGTCATTAATTAAATCTCTGTCCTCAAAAAGTGTATTCTCTAGAATAACTGATATTTACTTTTTATGATTTCAAAAGCTGTTTATCGTATGCTTTATTTATACATAATTTATTCTTTATTATCTGGCTAATTGCTCTTTTCTTTCCTGATTACTTCTTAGGATCTTTATTAGCTTTCCTATTTTCTTTGTGTAGGTAGTCCCCCTGAAGTAGCATACTAATAGTAATTTTAGTAAGAGAAGCTTGGAATTCCTTCAGGAAACAATGCTCACCAGGAGTTAACAATTTTTTTGTGTAAAGGGCTAAAGAGTAAATATTTCTGGCCTTGTGGGCCCCATACAATTATCTTCTCTTGATGTATTCTTTTAAGATAACCTTTTAATATGCAGAAATCATTTTCATTCTCAGACTATACAAAAATAGCCTATAGTACCCAACCCTTATGTTCGGCAAATTGCTAACTCCACTGGATGGTCCTTGAAACAAGGATTTCATGGTCAAATAAATTTGGCAAGTATTTTGTCATTGTCTTGGAAAATTTTAAGGCTTTTGTTAGCATTATTAAAGTTCTTAAAAAGCCCTTTGGCATGAGCTTCTTTTTCCTTGGAGCTTTGTGCTTCTTTTTGTTTTATTTTATTGAGTGTATTGCCTACTTGTATTTCATAGACTTAGCTTCTCAGAATGCTGGTATACATGATTTCTAGATTATCTCTTGATCATAATTTATATTCAGACAACTTTTCATATTATTTTCTCAATTCACTACTTTATCCAGCTCTACTAAAAAATTCATTTAAAAATATTCTACATACTTCTGTGACTTGTTAGTTCAAAATTTAAACATCTAAAAAGAACAAACTGATTTCTCAGTGTTTTTTATTATAATTTTATGACATTTATTTATTTATTTTCTTTCTCAACCAGGAAAAGTGGGTTGAAGTCGCTTCAATGAAAGTGCCTCGAGCAGGCATGTGTGTTGTGGCAGTCAATGGTCTTCTGTATGTTGCTGGAGGCCGATCTTCCATCCACGATTTCTCGGCCCCAGGGACCTTGGACTCAGTTGAAGTGTATAACCCTCATTCAGATACATGGACTGAAATTGGTAAAATGATCACTAGTCGTTGTGAAGCGGGTGTTGCTGTACTATGAAATACAAAGCATGAGAGCACAAGGAACATTTTGTAAATGTAGAATCTGACCTTTTGGAAATCAAACATATAGGTATTTGGTGATAGGTCCCTCTGATTCTATTGCGCTTTCCATTTATTAGATAAGTGAATAAAGAGTAATTTTTTTTTAAAAAAAGTGAGAAATAGAATATATCCTCAATTAAGAAAGAACTCACATAAATTTGCCAAACTTCCCACAGAAATGCTATTTAAACTAGAAAATTTTCCAGTTAAACTTAAGAGTCCTAGAGTCCTAATTGTAAAAATTGTTTACTAGAAGCTTTTGGGAGAATAGTCCCTTTGGGTGTTTCCTCAGTGTACTTCAAATCGTAACGTGCCCTATATATGATATAGAAATAACAGTTTAAAGACTCTTGTACATTCATGAGTCAATACCAGCACCAGTTTTCATGGCCATAATTTAACTGCAAAGAAAAGGCAGCAAAATAACTGCCTACTTTGATTTGATAGCACAAGTTTTCACCAGCCTCATTTTATTAGCAATAAACATATTTAGAGGAGTGTATGGGAAATATCTGGCTATTTAAAATTTTTGCTTGTTGATAGCCTAACACAAGCTTTTTGTGGCTCATATTTTTTGTTCTAATTCTGAGAATTCAAGTAAGGAATTAAGTTTCTTGGTGACAGTCCTTGATTGAAGTAGGATGTTGTAATTGGTGATAGAGCCCATCAAAATAGTATTATGCACCTAGAAATTGCTTCCTTAGTTTATATGTAGTCACCAATATTATCTCTTTGGTGCCACCTCAGTATTTGGGAAGCTGAGGCAGGAGGATCACCAATTTAAGGCCCACCTGGGCTATGTAACAAGACTCTGCTTTAAAATAAAAACAAAGTTTGGCTTTAGGAAGAGGGACTTTTATTGATTATCAAGCTTTGTAAAATTTACCTGTACTTGGGCAAATCTAAGTATGAGCTTACTGCAAAGCTACTGATTGGCTTGGAGAAGGCTATATTATTGGTACAATTTGAGCATCCCTAATCTGAAATCTGAAATTTTAAATGCCATCATGATGCTCAGCATTTTAGATTTCAACTGGACATGGTGGTAATCCCAGTACTCAGGCAACAGAGGTAGGAGGATCGCTGTGAGTTCGAGGCCAGCCTGGGCTACAAAGTAAGTTCAGGGCCAGCCTGAACTACAAAGCAAGACCTTGTGTTAAAAAAAAAAAAAAAGTTTGGATTTCAGATTTTCAGAATAGGTCTAAACAAATATTACAAAATCTGAGAAATTCCAGATCTGTAACACGTCTGGTCCCAAGCATTTCAGATAAGGAATATGAAATTTTTTATAGACTACTTAAAAGTTGAAAACCACTTCTGATCCAAAACTGGTTCTCAAAAATTTTCCTTTTCTTCTGAAAAGCATTCTAAAGAATTTTCTGTTCAGTTCTAAAGAATTATTGTGTGTATGATCATTACTTTTATTTCTAATAGCTAGATGGAACCATATGGATTAAGGGGTTTGCATACATTAAGGTTTAACTAGCTGGCTCAAGGATCTGATTTCCCAAGACTTTACAAAAGTCAGCGTGTTACTAAAAGCATCAACTTAGTTAGAAAACATTTGGTCAGCACTGAAGACTAAGCAATCAGTCATCTCCAAAAAATGTTTGTCCCACAGATATTATAGATATGAAAAAGCTTATGTAGCACAGAAAGTTGTGTCCCTTATGGGATATCCTGAAAGTCTAAAGGGGCACAAATGCCTGGATGGAATCTGTAAGATGTCAAAGAGGGAATATCAGGAAAATCTGTAGATTATTTAAGCTCTACTCATATGCCTTTAGTTTTTCTAGTTACAGAGAATCTACCTTATGACTCATACTACAATTTAGTTCTCATTATGCCTGGTACAATTTAAAATGGCACGGTAAAGAGAAATGTTTTACATTGCCTTGGCCTAAATGTTACAGTCAAGAGTATTTGGATTTAACAGACCCAGAAGATCCTTAAAAATAGTTAATTGTACATATGCTTATTACTTCCTAGGTAATGACAGATTATTTTTAAAAGAATGTATGAATAAAGTATCTAGCTTTTTTTTTTGTATTACCTGGTTTATTAGTAATATTCCTGGATTACTATACTGTGGTAGGTTGGTTTACACAAGCTTTTTGGTTTAATTTCTGGGATGTACACATTAGCTTTACATCTGATTGTACTTTCTGAGGTGATTAATGTGATCTTCCTCTAAAATGTTTGACAACTCATTATGCTTTAAATATTCTGTTGTCAGTTGTGGTGGTACACACCTATAATCCCAGCATTTGGAAGAGGGTGAAGCAGGAGGACTGCTGTAAGTTCGAGGACATCCTGGAATACATAGCAAGACCCTATCTCCAAAAAATATTCTGCCTAGTCTGGGCCTACTTATTGTCCCAGCTACTCAGGAGGCTGAAGCAGGAGGATCACTTGAGGCTAGTAGTTTGTAGTTCATGGCCAGTTTAGGCAGTATAGCCAGACTGTATCAGAGTTAAAAAAAAGAAAAACATTCAGTTAAAAAAAAATAGCTGGTGTGGTGACATATTACCTTTAATCCCAGCACTCTGGGAGGCTGTTGATACAGTGGCAGCATGAAGGCCCTGCGTTCAATCTCCAGTACCAAAAACAAACAAACAAAAACCAATAAAGTTAATGAAATTACTTAAAAATCAATATTACAGAATATACTATAATTCACTTGCTCTAATTCTCGGAGATGATATATTTAATTGAAATTAGGGAAAAGTTTGAAGTTTATACAATACTCATCAATTCAGCAGCAATGGTGTTTCCACATCAAAACACTTAATCTGAGTAGAATTTGAGGATGATCTTCCACATCAGCCTGCACTACTGTGTATATTAAAAGATCTATGCTTCTCAGTAATTAACATGAGGTCTAGCTCTCTGATATTGTATTAGTTTGCCACAGAAATTTTGTTTTCTCAACTATTTTTTTATTGGTACATTTTATTTATTTATTTGGTACTGTGGATTGAACTTGGGTCCTTGCACTTGCAAGGCAGGCAGTGGAACCGAGGTAAATCCCTGGCCCTATTGGTACATTTTAGTTATAATGATAATGTTCATCATAGTAGATTTGTACCTGTACATGATATATCTCGCTTTAACCATTCTCCTCCCCTCTCTTCAACCTTTCCCTCAATTTACAAAAGCTGTTTTCACTTCTTTCTGTTTTCATTTAACATGGCTTTCCCTCTAGACACTCTCCCTACTGACTTCAGAGCCATATATCCTCTCAGCTCATAAAACTATGTTATACCAGGTAAAACTTGTACATAAAACTCAAAAGGGCAACTGCTAGAACCACCTTTCATTTCAGGCACTTATTAGGAGGTTTTTCACATGACCTGGGGCAATATGTATATTCTTTTTAGTAATCACAAAGCTCTAACAAAGGGGATTTTTTTGTTTTTGTTTTTTTGTCGTTGTTCTTTTTGAGATAGGGTCTTGCTATGCATTTCAGACTGGTCTTGAACTATGTAGCCCAGACTGGCCTCAAACTTGGAGCAAACCTCTTGCTTCAGCCTCCTGGGTACTGGGAGAATGCTGGAATTATAGGCATGTGCCACCATACCTGGCATAACAAAATGAATTTTTTTTTTTTGTACTGGAGATCAAACTCCAGACTTTGAGCTTGGGAGGCAGACAGTGGCACCACTGAGCTAAATCCCCCCACCCCAATTTTTTGTCTTTTTTATTTTACATTTTTCAAGATGATTAAAACATTGAAATGTTGGGCTGGGGATTTAGCTTAGTAGTGCCATTGCCTGCTTGGCAAGCACAAGGTCCTGAGTTCGATCTCTGGTACCAAAGCAAACAGACAAACAAAAAACCATTGAAATGTTTAAGTGAATATGTAATTCATAAAGACTGAATGTAAATTAACCTAATGACAAGGACTTTTGTGGGATTTTCAAGTTCTTGCTCAAGTAATTAGTAGAAATGACTTAAATACAGAACAATCTATGAGGAATAAATTATTACTGTGAGGGAGAGCAAATGGAATAGAAAAAGATATCAAAATACAACATTAGAAAGTCTATAGGCAGGGAGCTGGGAGAGCAGCCCAAAATTGCAAAGTGCTTGCCAACCATGTTCAAGGCCCTGGGTTTGATCCCTAGCACCCCACCCTCCCTTCTCACATACGAAAATATGTGTAGCCAACATAATAATGTTATCAAGAAAATACTTTTATATTTATTCTATTTGACAGGTCTCTTGTGCCCTTTCTCTGTATATGTATCTTGAAGTAGTAAAGTGACTACAAATGAAAAACAGGCCACTAAAGTGACTACTATCCTCAGGGCTTTGAACCAGTTGGGATAATGCGGCAAGAGAAAAACTTCAGTGTGTAATGCTATCCCCAAACCTATTATTACTGTGACTATGGCTTCATTGAGGCTTTCAGAAATGAGAGCAAACAATGAAAACACAACAGGAGCTACACTGTTAGCTAAATTAAGGTAGTCTGGTTTGGCTGGACTACCTTCTGTCAGAGCAAAACCCCATCTGATACCTCCCAAAAAAGACAGGAAACTGGCTCCATAAACCATCTGAGTGAAAGCTAATGCAGGGATATAAGACTTGGTCATCACCATGATTAGGGGTGGAGCAATAAAAGGGATTAGTCCTGCCAGAGTTATATATAGCGCCGGCTTTGGGCTTTTAGTCAGGTATGTGATGGTGACTGGTGGCCTCGCTGGAAGTACTTCTTGCTTTTGCTTCTTCTTAAAGCTGCATGGGGATGTATGGTAGTATTGTGCCTTCCTCATACACACTGGAACTGAAGGAAAACACCGAGGTCTTGGAAATAAAGAAGAAAGATCCCACTGTAGAGCTGTCTTGAGAGAAAATGTATCTGTTCTCCTGTTGGTTCCTAGTCTCATTGTGAAAGAACATGTCAGCATCTATAAATAGAAACAGAAGAGAAAAAACAAAACAAAAACCCACCAGATTTTTTAGTTAAAAATTTTTTTTTTTTTTTTGGCTTTTTTTGAGACAGGGTTTCACTATGTAGTTGAGACTGACCTGGAACTCACTATGTAGCCCAGGCTGGTCTCCAACTCACAGCGATCTGCCTGCCTCAGCCTCCCGAGTGCTGGGATTACAGGCCTGCGCCACCACGCCTGGCTAGTTAATTCTAATCTAAATCAATTTTTTTAAAAAAGCAAGCTAACCAAAAGAACTGCTTTCTCTTAACACATCAAGTTTTACAGACAAGTTGTACTGACCAGAGTAATGTTATTCTTAGGATTAAACAGCTATACACTGTACCCAAAAAAATCTATATAATTACTATGTTAATTAAAAATTTTAAATATATGAAAAATATTGCTAAAACAAAAATTGTTATACAACATGCAAAAAAAAATAGTGAATAGAAACCAGTGATATAACCTATCAATATTTCATCCCAAGAGAGAAAAGTGAAAGAGGTGCAAGTAAAGATAATGTCTTTAGCATTTGACCTTCTAATCTGCCTCTTCTAGTTTGTAAATTGCAAAAGAAGCAGGACTGATTACTGTGGGAATGCTATTTTATGTACAGAAGAAGACAATCTACCTTCCAATTATCTTTATAAACACTGCATACTAGCCAGGCGTGGTGGCGTACACCTGTAATCCCAGCACTCAGGAGGCTGAAGCAGGAGGATCACTGTGAGTTTGGGACCAGCCTGAGCTACATAGTGAGTCCCAGGTCAGTCTCAACTACACAGTGAAATTCTGTCTCAAAAAAATAAATAAATAAAAACAAAAAAACACTGCATAGTTCCATTCTTTGTACATGTCTCTGCCTAGAAATCTAGCTCCCTCTATTTTTCTTTTTCTTTTCTTTTTTTTGGGTACCAGGGATCAAACACAGAACCTTGCGCTTGTGAGGCAGGCGGCAGAACCACTGAGCTAAATCCCTGGCCCTATTTTCCTATGTATGAAATTTACCTTATCTTTCAAAATTCAGCTGGAAGCTTTTCTGAACACTTCTCCAGTCCAATTTAAAGTTCCTAAAGTAAGTATTCAAGTGTCCATCACAATTTCTTTTTCGGAGATAGGTCTCACTATGTAGTTCAGGCTGGCCTTGAACTTGTAACACTCCTCCTACCCAGCTTCCTGCGTGTTAGGATGATAGAAGAGCATCATCATACTCAACATAACAATTATGATAGTAAATTGTTCTGTTCACTTGTCTTTGTCTTAGTAGAATGAAGAACTAGGCCCATAGTTTTTTCTTTGCCTTTAAGGAAAATCCCAGTCCCTTTTATGGTACATGACCAAAGTAAAAGCCCTTCCCTCTCATTCTGTGCTTTAATGAGATGTTGGACTTCAACTAATCGAAAACAATAACTAAAAATGTGTTATGTGAGATTAAAAAACGTCAATTCTTCACGATTGTGTAGAATGACCTGATCTTGAGGCCTCTCTCCTTTTGTATCTGTTTGGAATGTTCCTTCTTCAACTACTTGTATGGCCCATTCCTTCATTTCTGACCTCTCTAATAAAGTGCAATTCTGCATCTATTTTTTGATACTTCCTGTTCTCCTTCCCTGCTTTATAGTTCTCTATAGTACTGACTTACTAAATACTTTACTTACTTGTATTCTGTCTCCCACCACACACCCTGGAATACATGACAATATAAAGATTGTCTATTTTACTGGTGTTACCTCAGCCAGAGTTCTCTTGGCAAACAATGCTTAGTACTTGACAAATAAACCAACCTTTGAAGATGCTTGAGAAAACTTCTGAATGAGGTGAAGCATACTGGCTCCTATTGAAAGTCTTCTTCACGAAGATGCCAAGCAGTTCTGATTAACATTTATACAGCTTAGTAGAGGGGCTGAATCAGAAGCATGTTGCTGTGCATAGAACAAGACATCATTTCATACATTAATTTTTAAAAATAAGTCATAAGCATTTCATCCATATAACAATTCTCTTTGGAAATAATCATTAATGCTTTCAAAGAATTAGTAACATATTAAGGAAATGGCTCTTTCTCTTCCCTGAGGAATTCTTTCAGCTTTGGCTATCAAATGCAACAAAGAATAATGCACAGCCAGGGGTGGTAATGCCAGCTACTCTGGAGGGTGGGGAGGAAGAACAGAAGTTCAAAGTTGCCCAGTGTGGGCAACTTGGCAAGACCTTATCGCCAAATAAAATTTTTAAAAAGGTCTGGGAGGGCCGGGGTTTTAGCTGAGTGGTTCTGGGGCCAGCCTTGCAAATACAAGGACTGGAGTTCCATCTTTGGTGCAAAAAACAAAACAAAACAAAACCCAAAACCAAAACAAACAAAAAGGTCTGGGAATGTGGCTCAGTGCTCCCTGGGTTCAATCCAATACCACCCTAAATAAGTGAACAAACAAAAAAGGTCACTGAGGATTTAGCTCAGTGGTGCCACTGCCTGCCTTGCAAGTGCAAGGTCCTGAGTTCAATCCCCCGTACTAAAAAAAAAAAAAAAAAAAAAAAAA